CCTGTCTGAAGTGGACATCGCAGAGTTCCGAGACGACGAACGCGAGCACGTGAAGGAAGGCACTTTGCTGGTAGACGAGGAGACGTACTGTACGAGTCTCAGTCTGTCGAATATCTGCGTGCGGGTGCTGCTGGGGCGACAGTTGACGAGCAATCAGGCGCTGAAAGTGAGTCAGACGGCGCTGGAGGAGCTTCTCAAGGGCGAGGGAATATCTTTTGGTGAGGTGCTGGACACGGGCAACACGTCGGGGACTGGAGTGTCGAGTGTCACTGGACACAAACGCGATCGTGGCGATAAAGTAGACGAGGAACAGGAAGAGGAGCAGGCTGAACAGCACGCGAGCAGCGAGAGTGAGGAGGAGCACGAAGATCAGGAAGACATCAGTGCGTCTGCGTTCTCGTTCATTGGCAAGTACAAGTCGGACAGCAAACGTACGAAGCATCAAGCGAAGGAGGATGAAAAATTGCTGCTCAAGGCGGCTGAAGCTGGCAGTGACAAGCACCATTTGCTGTCTTCGCTCATGGACTCGAGCGAACTGAAGCCGTACAGTCCCGAGAACCAGCTGGAGTATCTAGAGGATCGATTCCAGGTTGTGGCGTTTGCGATCCGTGCGTCGGGCGCGCGGGTGAAGGACCAGATGAAGGAGGCAGGCACGAAACAGCCCTGGGAATCGTCGGCGCCGGCGTCTGCTGGTCGACGCGAGCTCAAGGCCAAGCAGCGCGTGTACAGCCGTCGAGCGCAGCACCGGTTGGCTCTGACGCGACAAGCAGGTCGCTCGCTGCCGCGTCTGGAAGAACTGGCAGCCAAATTCAAGCTGAACCGCTTCGAGCAGAACGTGATCGTGATGCTCATTGGCAAGACCATCTCTCCGGTCATTAAGAACCTCATCGACGGTGTGGACACGTCGCCCGTGCAGCGGATGGACGAGAGCGTGATCATCAACCAGATCCTGTCCATCTTCTGTGAGACTTTCCAGGAGCAAGTGGCGCACCGAGTTTTCTTCTACAAGTCGTCGCGTCTACTTAGTCGCGGCCTCGTGAAGCTTCACAGAGGACGATGGCACTCGACCGCGGGCGATCTCGTGGACCAGCGCGTGGAGCTGGACCGTCGTGTGCTGGACTGGGTCGTTGGGCTTGATACCGAGATGAATGAGCTGGTGGAAGGCTCGGATCTGTACACGCCAAAGGTGCAGCTGGACCAGGTTGTGCTGCCTGAAGAGCACAAGAGCACGATCTTAGAGACGGTGGAGAGCTACGAGAGCTTCCGGAGGTACCGCAAGAAGAGCGGGTTGGAGCAGGCTGGCATGGCGTATGGAGCTGGCCTCGTGTTGCTGCTGTGTGGCGCCAGCGGAACGGGCAAGACGATGACGGTGAACGCTGTGGCTCACCACCTGAAGAAGCGAGTACTGCTAGTGGACTTCCCGTCGCTGCAGGGAAAACGTCAGGAAGGCATGGAGACTGACGCCGACTTGCGCGGTCTCTTCCGTGAAGCGGACATGAGTAACGCTGTGCTCTTCTTTGACGAGTGTGAGAACATCTTCCGACAACGCGACGGCGGAGGCGACCGCCTCTTGAATGCGCTGCTGACGGAGATTGAGCGCTACGAAGGCATCGTGTTCCTTGCGACCAACCGGCCGTTCGACCTGGACGAGGCCATGCATCGACGCATCACTGCCGTGTTCGAGTTCAAGGCGCCCGACCACATCCAGCGACGCAAGATCTGGGACGTGTTACTGCTGCGTGGCGCTCTGAAGACCGAGGAAGGGATCGACTGGGACGCCATCGCTCTGAAGTACGAGCTCAGTGGCGGCTTCATCAAGAACGCCATCTTGTCGTCGCTTCTGAAGGCCATTTCACGGAACGGCGAGGCGCCCGTGATCTCCCAAGCGGACATCGTCGCGGGCTGCGCGCTGCAGATGCGTGGCAGTCTACACATGAAGACATTCGATCACCGAGTTGTGCCCACGAGCGGGCTGGACGAGCTGATCGTTGAGGACGCGGTCAAGGGCAAACTGCGCCGAGTCGTGCAGTTTGAGAAGGCGCGCAGTGTCATCTACGGCCAGTGGGGCTTTGACTTTGGGCAGCCCAACAAGCAGCAGAAAGGGGTGAGCGTGCTGATCTGTGGCCCTGCAGGGATCGGCAAGCTGAATGCAGCCAA